ARRAAAAAAWKGAAAAAAAAGATTTGGCATCATTTACTACAACTATATAGTTTYGTACCGCACAAAGAATTGTGCGGCACTCATCAGGTAAGTAGCCAAATTTAAAATGATTTACAACGGTTAATGGATATATGATATAGGCGAATTTACAATAATATAGCGTTACATGGTAATTAACTGATTGATTAAGATCTAAAGTTCTTTAGAAGGCATTTGCCTGCGTGTCTACATGATGTTACAAGTTCGTTTCTTTTGCTAAGAGTAGAGAGGTGCGGTTTACATATTATATAGTATTTTTCCCATAGACATAAATTGCAGCGTTTGGAGACAGGATTATATGGAGCAGCTTGTTTGATAATTTTCCAGGATATTTTAAAAGTTTTGTTTTCATCTTTTAGGTTCCAGATGTGTTTGCTTAGTTCAGTGCTTAGTTTTTTATGTTCATTATTGAAGGACGTTTTGTGGTTAGCGTATCTAGTTTTAAATGTTGTTTCAGTGAGGCCAACATACGTTTGTGCAGGTTTGTCATCGTTGGTTGTGACAGTGGCTTGATAAATAACACATTTCTTCAAGCACTGGCCATTCAGTGGACAATCAATGGGTTTTCTACAGTTGCAGGTTTTATCCTTGTTGTCGACAACTGTTTTATGTAAGGTTGATTTGTTGTGGCCGTCAATGGATTGTTTAATGTTGGGCATGCAACTGTAGCTAATCTTGACTGTGTTACGGTTAAATATCTTGTGTAGTATGTGATCTTTAGGGAATTCTTCGTCAATAATCTTGAGAAAGCAGCGACCAATATTAGTTTCAACGTTTCTACTGTAGGGAGGATTATACCAGATTATGTCTCTTTGACGGTTTTTTCGTCTGTTGTTGTTGGGAGTGGAAGGGTTGGTATTCATAATAGGTGTGAATGCGAGTCGATGCTTATATCCACAGTCATTAAGGGCTTTCTGGTATAGGGGTATAGCTGTGTTAAAGGATTCTTCATCATAGGAAATTTCCGAGAGACGCTTGTTAATTGCTTTAGGGATGTTATCAATTATTCTCGGTGGGTGGTTGGACAGCTTGTTAACGTAGAGAGGGACGTTGTTAGGTTTAGTGTAGGGCATGTACTTTC